GATTCCATACTCCTGGATGGTTCATTCAGTGTTAAATATTTTATCCACCCCCCGTCGGTGGCGTTACTAGCGGTTACTACGTATAAACTCAGTTAAGCCCATTGCGTCTTACCTGCTATTGTATGATAACACCAGATTATTCAATAAAAACACTTTAAGTATAGTCTAAGACTTAGATGTCAATAACTTAGACTCGAGGTTATTGACATCCAAATTTAGTTATCTAGGAATAATGTCTCAAAGCAACACATTGAAAATCTTGCAGAATTTTTTTTTAATATATATATTTGCGTACTTAAGGGATTACACTCCCTTCGTTTGTTCAGTATAGCGATGGTGGTAACTACAATTTTACATCATTTAATATGAAGGAAAAAATCACAGACAATAACCCATTGCCCTTTACTGTAGTTGTTTTGAACAGGCTACTATTTTAGTAGTTATATAAAGAACATCACAAATTGGTAACAAAATTGGCAGTGGCACTACTTTTTCACATCTTATTTTGTGCTCTCTAGTTTATTGACGACCAACTTGAAAAAAAAGTATCTTGCAGCTTCAGAACTACACGACTACAGTACTAAATATATTATTGGAAATTAAAGACTGGGGGTTTTAAGATTAGGCTGCTACAGTGGAAACAAGTTTGAAGATTGGGCAATATTATACGAAGTTTGAATAATAGTAATATCAATATTAATATTTATTCAGTGACGTCATACAGGTTTGCAATTGGATAGACATGTATATAAACTATGCCAGTATACAGTTCAGCATGGATATAAATAATGCAGGTACAGTATACGGTATACAGTTTCCTATGTGCCTTGACATTGCAGGTATACAACAATGGTAAACAGTAAGGCAACTTGACCAAAGATAGCCGACAAAGCTTTCAGATGCTTGTTGCCAGGAGGGTCCTTTGTTAAGGCTACGTATTACGTAATTTCCAGTGGCAGATGTAGACGTTTACAGACGGGTGCTGCCAACTGAACCCAAACGTTAAGTTCCAGCCTTATATTTTAGACAATACAACAGTACCCTGCTCATTTTATATATCCAATTGATAATCTGATTTTCAATAGCAATTCAGAAGAGTGGATCGTTGTCATTGTTAGATGTATTACATAAAGAAAGAGCTCATAGTAACTAATGAACAGTCAAGATTTAGGTTTACGACTCACCTCCGGATTTGGGGGAAATCTGAAGAAAGACAGGTTTCTGTTTCATTTGGTGTTGGATCAATTTATAACTGACCAGTAATTGTATCCCTTTGTAGAAGGTAAAGAAAGTCCACAAGACAAAAAAAATGCATTTACCGAGATGTGCTTCTCCTTACCTCTAATATCTGCCAGCCAACTATTGTTTATTTTTTATTTTTTTGGCAGCCGCTTGGCTGCGCCACAGTCGGCCTAGTCGAGGCGAACCCAGTGCCGTAGATAAGAGTTCGGCCAGCCGGGCGCCATGTTGTTACTCAGCCGATAAAGAAGTTTTTCTTCATAGTGTAGAGGGTGATAATGATGTTGTTTATTCAGTAAAATTGTCGTACGTGCAGGGCCTAGGGTTGCCATATCTGAACATTCAAAAAAGAGGACGTTCCCGAAGACATCCCCCCCCCCCGCCCGGCACACACTTTGGCGCTATGTAACTTTGAAGCAGCCGTGACAAATAATTTTGCATATTTGCATAGCATTATATATATATATATATATATATATATATATATATATATATATATATATATATATATATATATATATACCAGTATCGGTGTACTGTATTGCATTGTGTTTTTAATGTAGGCTAATATACAACATACATGGTATAGAAATCTTAAAAATAAAAAAATTACCTTTGCTTAAGGCTGAATATCTTCTTTAGCTGCAGTCTTCTTCCCCCACTGTGTGTGTGACTTGATGTGCCCATGCATACTTTTCTGTAGATCGGATCTTTTTCAGTATTGGCTGATTGCTCTTTAGAAAGGTATAGAAGTCACTGCAAGATGTTTCTCGGAAGTTGTACTGTACAGTCAAAATGCCTTTCATTGTTTCAACACTCAATTTGTTCCTTTCCTTTGTCCATTAACTTTGCATCGGTGAAAAAACTCTTTCTGCATTTGCATTGTGAGATGATATAGCAAAGAAGAATTGTACAATTCTTAGCAATTCTGAGTGGCATTCAATGTTCTTTGATTTTCCAAAGTATCTGGTCCACTATTTATGTGTTGGCAGATTACTAAATTCTTCATCACTTGTAATTTTCCACAAACTGCTTCAGGTTACTAACTTGGTCAAAACACTTTACATAATCAACTTCTACCCCCTTATCAATCAAATATTTGACAGCTAAGTTGACAACACCGTACAGGCGTACACGTGACTTATCAGCTGACGAAAACTGAACGAGATCTCTACGGTTTCCACCTCCCCACTTTCTCAGTCTCTCTCTCTCTCTCTCTCGTCATTACAGTTTCATGTTTTTTTTCCGCGGAGAAAATGGTGGACGCTGAAATTCCGGACTTTTGAAGAATTTAAAAAATTACTTCCGGATGAAGATTTCGAGACCTAAATGGAGGGCATGTCCGGGAAAATACGGACGTATGGTAACCCTAGCAGGGCTGGATTCAGGAGTGGGCAAAGTGGGCAGCTGCCCAGGGGCCTCCACAATCTGGGAGCCTCCACATATTACAATATTTTATTTATTTGTTTATTCATTTGGATTATTTTATTTTCATTCTTTAAAATTCATGTTTATTTTTTACATGTGCGGTAGTAGCTATATCAGGGCTGGTCAACTTGAAACCACATGAATGACTCCAGTCATGTCTCACTTTTGTGTGTGTGTGTGTTGGGAATTTGTACACTATCAATAAATATACAGTTAATTAAAAATTTCTCAATGTTCTAATTTCCTCAATATAACTGCATATGGCTTCAAAATTCTCCAAAGAAGTGTTCAAATTTAAAAAATTTCCCGGGGGGCTTACAGCGCCCCCCGGAACTACCAGATGTTTAGTCTCGCTTCACTCGCCACCCCACCCCACCCTCTTGGGTAGTTATAATGAAGGGGGCCTCCACAAAGAGGCTGCCCATGGGCCTCTACAGGTCTAAATCCGGCACTGCATACGTGTTTACAATTGGATAAGCACCTCCTACAGTATAGAATCCTTGGTTATGATGTAAACACTAAACACCTCACACGTACCGAACTTGGTCGGGACGAAACAGTACCCTCGTTTAATGTCTAACTCGCCTGGGAGGCTGGGACACATTTTGTAATGTATTATGTAAATCACTGTGCAAGTGACATTATCATTTGTCTTCCATATTTTGCAATATTAATTGTTACTTCACCTTTTCCTTGCACATTGACATTCTTTCTGCGTTGCAGGACACGAGTTAACTATTCTTGAGAAACATCAGACACGAGTGCGTCTTCTTCCTTAACCACATACTTATACTGTCTTGTAAAAACGCATAAAATTCTTCGTCTATCGATAAAGCAATCCTTGGCTCCTTTGGCGATTCTGTAATCTTTCTTAAGTTTTTGTTTCGCTTTTTGAATGACCAGTATATTGTTTCTTTTGTTTTGTCAAAGCGTAGTTATGTGACCGTTCTTTCGCCTTCAGTCTTTTTCAAAGTTCACCATAAAAAGTCTATATCTTCTTTGACTGTTTGAATATTTCAGTCTTCAGCCGTTTTCTTCATTAAGTTTTAGTACCCCTTGTCCTCTTATTATCCCCACTTAAGTGTTTGCTTCTCAATGAGGTGAATTGAAAACTTATAATTCGCCGTAGGCGATCATGTAGATCAGCAGAAAACTGTAGAATACTTGCAAATGAAAAACAATTCATAGAAACTCAGCTATCAAACAGGGAGGTACTACCGCCTGAGAAGATATTGGAAGCATAAGGTATTGTCTAATGGTAGACCCTGCTGCTATATGGCATCACGAATATTGTGACCAAGTCTCAGGTTGCTGATCTGTCTTTCTGCCCCATTTACACACAATTGCAGGGTCTCGATTGTTTCTCTTACCATTGACAACACAACATACTGTACAGGCGTTTCTTACTATTAATTTTTGCTAATTTTGTATTTCTTTGTATTGCTTTATTATCATTTTACAGTGTTGTTATTATTATTATTATTATTATTATTATTATTATTATTATTATTATTATTATTATTATTTCATTTTCCTTGTTATTATAAATTTTATTTACTGTGAATTACTGTATTATTATTATTACATTTTCGCCCCCCAGGCCCCGATGTGGGTCAGTGACCTGTGCCCGGGTGAGCTAAACCCCGTAAAAAAAAAAAAAAAAAAATATATATATATATATATATATATATATATATATATATATATATATATATATATATATATATATATATATATATATATATATATATATATATATATATATATATATATATATATATATATATATAACACGCATAACCCACCCTAGCCCAGGTATAATTTCTTTTATCTTATGATGTTAAATGACGTCTTAGAATTAGATGATACAGTACATTAAAAAATTTTCCATTTTCAATAATTTCCATCAAGTTGTATCAATAAAGACAAAAAGTTATCTATTTGACACAAACGCCAATTGCTTTTTACAATATAATTAGAAATAATCCTTATTGGGCATAACTTGTAGTTATAATTAGGCAGTTATGTATTGGCTCATTTCTGTGAGAATCAGACTTCCTCCAATATTTTTTTTGTATCATTTCCCGGGTTTTGTCATTTTCCGAAGCTTTGACGTATTTGCTGCGTCTATGGTAGATACAAGGTCGTTTTATCCATTTTCATCAATTGAATTTTAATGAAAATACTGATCACTATAAACCGTTATCAAGGGTGTGAGCCTAAAATATCCATTTATTACATAAGTATTACATTACTAGTGGTTACATTCATCTTATGACTGAACTGGTATAGAAGCTGTAACAGTGACTTTGATTGCTCTCTGGTATGCTCAGGACGCGAGATGAACGGTCTGGGCAGCGAGGAGGAAGAGGCCAGCATTCGGCGTGGCCACCCTCTCTATGGCCACGGTGTGTGCAAGTGGCCTGGCTGCGAGGCCATCTGTGACGACATTCACGCCTTCCACAAGTGAGTTCTTCATCTTAGGTACCTGTAGCAATATTTCTCATCTTCCTTCAGTAGAACAATAAAAAGTTTAGATTTTCATTTTGTACCTGTCCTGTATTCTTTTTTTTTTTTTTACTAATTTGGTCCGTTTGTTGTTAATATATAAAGTGCTTTGTGGTTCTTTAAAGATTACAGTATTTTCCTTTGGTCTCAGTATTTTTTATATATTTTTTTTACATGAACACATACCAATAATGTCTTAAGTAGAGAAGAACGTCCTAACATAAAACCAGATGCTTGTAGAAGAATGTAAACTGCCAGGTCAGAAAATAGTTCTAAATTGCCCAAACAGATATAAATTCCATATATTGGGGACATTACAGGCACCTCAATACAGAACATACGCTGGACGACCGGTCGACGGCTCAAGCCAGGGTACAGATGCAGGTGGTCAGCCAGCTAGAGCGTCAGCTTACCAAGGAGAGAGATCGACTGCAGGTGGGTTACTTAGTGTTGGTTGTAAATGAAAGTTTGTTTGCTGAGAGATGTTTGAGTGTTACTAAACATTTTGGTGTTGAGATAATGTGTAACTCGGGTAAATGGCATTGAGAGTTGTGGAACTATATTGGTATACAGTACAGTATAATTCTTTACTAGTTAATTTCTCCAAAAATTCTTTCAGGCGATGATGAACCATTTGCATATGAACAAACAACAACAGCAGCAGCAACAACAACAGCAACAACAACAACAGCAGCAGCAGCAGCAACAACAACAACAACAATCTCAATCTCACCACCCACCACCTCGAGTTTCCTCTCCGGAACCTCTTCCACATCAACCCAAACCCCTTATCGAACCTCCCTCACAGGTATGTCTTACTCTAGGAGTCTAGATAATACCAGACTATTGACAGTTAAACTGGCCCATTATATAACATCAGTGAGTGTGTTGAATCCATGCAGGACCCCATACTGTCAGTGTCAAGTGTTCAATATTTTACTGCTATACTGACAGTGTTTATAATTAAAGACCATACTAACATTGTCTCGTATTGAGGACCATACTGACAACATCTAATACTGAGGACCATACTAAGAGCTTGTACTGAGGGCCATACTGACATTGTTTAATATTGACGATACTGACAGCTTGTATTGAGGATCATACTGACAGCATTTAGCACTGAGGATCATACTGACAGCTTGTACTGAGAACCATGCTGACAGTGTCTAGTATTGAGGACCATACTGACAGCTTGTAATGAGAATCATACCTACAGCATTTAGCACTGAGGACCATACTGATAGCTTGTAATGAGGACCATATTGACAGCTTGTACTGAGAACCATACTGACAGTGTTTAGTATTGAGAACCATACTGACAGTGTTTAGTATTGAGAACCATACTGACAGTGTTTAGTACTGAAGACCATACTGACAATGTTTAGTACTGAAGACCATACTGACAGCTTATACTGAGGACCATACTGAGTGTTTAGTATTGAGGATCGTACTGACAGCATTTAGTATTGAGGACCATACTGACAGTGTTTAGTACTGAGGACCATGCTGACAGTGTTTAGTACTGAGGACCAAACTGACAGCTTGTTTTGAGGACAATACTGTCAGTGTTGAGAACTGAGGACCATACTGACAGCTTGTACTGAGGACCATAATGACAGCTTGTACTGAGGACCATACTGACAGTGTTTAGTATTGAGGACCATATTGGCAACAACCTTCAGTATTTGGGGTTAGAGGGGTACAACTGCCTTAAAACAGTTTAGTTTAGAAGGTCCATATGATGTTTGCTGACATTTGTGTGACTCTTAACTAGATAGACATCATTGTACACACACACACCTGCACTAGCTACTTTATTGAATTTGAACAAAGGTACAAATACACCCATAGCTGGACTTTATATTTATCACTTTTTTTATCGAGGATTGCACATGCTGTGTATAAATTGAAATACTAGAAGAATCATCTATATTCCTTACACTTATTAATGAAAGGAGCCTTGATTGTGAAGAGATTTTTTTTAATATATATAAATAAATTTAAGCTTTAATTTTGCTTCATTTAGCACATAATATGCAGTATCCTTCTCGTTCACAGAGTCCTGGTTGTATATTGCCGAAGCTGCCAATGAGTGCCAGCTTATTGGGCAGTGGTGTATTGGGTGCCAATCCCCTTGGCCTCCCACACTCACCTATGGGACAGATGCCTCCAGTCTCTTTGTTCAGGTTAGTTCTATAGGCCCTTTATAGGAAGTATCTAAGCATGATCTGTTTAATTATATACAGTAACTGCATGTATCTTCTATTCTCTTAGATAGTACTGAGTATATACAGTACATAAAGGTAGAATACACCTGAACACCACTCTTATACTGTAGTACATTATATTATTTTAAAGAGTACACAAGTCATTTAGTATTGTATTTTTTTCTTTTTCTACATAAGGTAGTGTTTCCATATACTATTAATACAAAATAAAGAAAGACTAAAAATAAAACATAGGCAGCCTAGTCAATGACCATTATACTAGAACAATTTTATGATCCTTTTTTATTGTAAACTTCATTTGTTTTTAAGAATGGAACATAGACAGTAGATATTGGTCATCATCAACCCACCATATTTTTTCTTCAAACATTTCTAGTTGATGTCATCTGGTCTGACATCAACAGACCTTTTCAACTCTATGGGTGTTACTTTATGTATTCACTTCAAACATTATGATCTACAGTAATACATTACTCAACTCCGATTAACGATAAAACCATACAGATGTGTAACTGGAAGGGGAACAGACCAGTGCAGTAAATTGCCATATTTGAGAGTAAAAAAGAAATTTTTAGTCATGGACACCCAAGCTAATGCCTCAAAAAATACATTTTCAAATCAAACTCAACATTAATTATTAATTATTCGTGTATGTGGTCCCCTTTCTGCTGAATAAAATCGTCAGGAATTAGCCAAATAAAATTTTTGATGTGGCATCCCCGTGTTGAAGGGATTAAGTTGTATGTTGTAAAAGTGTATTCAAATAAATAGGGATATGGTAAGCAAATGTTGAAATAATATTAGCAGTCAAGACAAACATTAGACAATAGGATTATATATCTTAGGCACAGTCAGCAAAACAGTATTTTGACAGCCCTGAGAAAGACCAGAGATCAGTCAACACTCCAACCTGAAACACTTGGTAGCCCAGGTATCTTGTGTATGAATTATCTTCATCTAAAACCTGATAAAGTTAAACAAATAAAGTACTGTGGCATATTTAGGAGTATGATGATAATATAATAAGTTACTGAAGGATATCTAATGATAAAATACCTGTAATAAGTTGAAAGTGAAAGTGGGTCCCATAGGTATGACTGCCTGTTAGGGACAGTGTGGATACAGCACACTGTATACTAAGCCTTCAGTACACAAGGAGGCAGCATGACCGGTACTGCACTCAACCGCCTTCACTTCCCCAAGTTGTAAACTTAGGTACCCATTTACAGCTGGGTGAACTGGGAGCACCCGGGAATCGAACAACCGACCCCTGGAACAGGAGGCGAACGCTGTATCCACTCGACCGCCGCGCTCCATAATAAGTTACTGAAGGATATATGATGATAATGTAATAAGTTACAGAAGGATATATAAATAAACTAACAAAAGAGATGAGAGTATGGAAGATATTGGCTACCCTCAGATGTTTGTTCACTGGTTTAGGCTACTTGGCTTTAAAATGAGGATGTATTGCTTGCTTTTTGTTTGCTATGTATAAAACAACATGACAATATGATTAGCATGTATAGGACATATAAAGTATCAAGAACATTGTACTGGTGACCCAGCCACTATTACTGTACCAACAATGCTTGGCTTTGATAGTGATCTGTATTACTAGATATTTACCAAATATTGTACTGTACATGTAATAAAATCCTGTAACATTTTTCAATTCATATGAATGTGAAACATAATATTCTCTAGAATGCTTAATATGCGAGGATACTTATAATCATTACACTGTTGTCTGCAGTATTGTGCACCATCATCAACACTGAGTGTTGTAGGGTGCAAATTCTAGAGTTATCCTCATTTATGCTTTTAGATAGTAAAGCAAAATGTGACATGTAGACAGGTAGAGAGGCACAATGAAAAGAGTAAAAAGTACTACAAAACTGCTGAAGAAATCAGAACAGCCTTTATAACACTGCATCAGAATGGAGTGCCTACAAAGGTGCTATTTTAATATTTGGCTACAAAACCACAGGTATCCCAACTCAAGCACAGGACTACCAACACAAGTTCAGGTCTTACTAGATGTTCCCCCAAAAATTATATTTAATTTCTTTATATTTCAATCTTAGGATGTCACAATGGTGTTTTTTGCTGACTATGCTTTTAATTTTCCAATATACTTCTACCAATAATTTATTTTTATTATTTCCCTGAAAATTATCACTGCAGGAAGCTGTTATGAGGGAAATGTGGAGACTCTTTGATGGTCTTAAAAATGGGTTCCTTTAGCCTGATGATCCATGAAGGGTAATTTAGATACTATCTTCTGAATACTAAACCTTTGGCACACAAGGAGGCAATATGGCAAGAATTGCACTTAATTATATTTACTTCTCAACTTTAAATTTTGGCATTCATTCACAGCTGGGTTGACTGGGGGTGCCTCAAGCACAAGCCAACAACCTATAGGGCAGAAGGCAAGTGCTGTAACCAATCAGCTACCACATCATTAGTTAAAGTGTAGTTTTTGTAAACGTTTTTGCATAACATCCAAGCTGGTCTTACGCATGCACCTTATGGTTAAATGTACGTAAGTATTGTTTGTAGAAATATATAACAAGGGAAAATCTCTTCTATCTGGACAGTTTGAAAAAAAATTTGTAAAGATACTTTTCTGTCTACAGTGCAATAGGTTCTCGGCCTCCACCCATACTTCAGCCGCCTACCCCAACTAGCTGTGGTCCTCTCCGGCGAAGGTTGACTGACAAAGCAGCCCTCCTCACCCCAGGTAATAACTTTTCTTCGAAACATTTGACTCAGTACTTTGCACTTTCTCTTTTCATCACTTACCATTCCGATCCTCCTGCCATAGATTTCATATTCTTTTTGGCTTTTTGTTGGCATGATCCGACTCAGTTTCCAAATCCATGTTTCTTTTTAATTCAACAGTTTTGTTATAGCTAATGAAATTTAAATTCACTTTGGTAATGTTTTATGAGAAAACTTTCTAATGTTGTTTAATACTTAAAGTAGTTGATGAATATTTGTTTTAAGAAATCGATTTGTAAATTATATACAGTACTGTGTGTTATTTTGATAGGAAGTACGTGTCAGTTTAACAATGTAATAAGTCTGATGTTTTACTCTATTGTAGGTAAAATTTCTTTCTTTATATGCCAACAGATAATTTTTTCTAATGACTGGCTATGTTATTTTTAAAACTATTTCCTGGTAATGTAATACTCAATGATATAATTATATTGGGTTATTGATACAAATATAGATTTCAACCTTCATATATGTAATATTGTACCTACGTCATGTGTCAGTTATTTCATGATCCCAAATACCTTCAACAACATGAGAATCAGAAGTGGATTATGTGATGGTAGTAGTGATGGTATGCATGACAGATCCCCACCCACTGTATTTTAGTCACAAGTTAGTAACATCTAATGCTCAGAAATTGTTTTTTCAACTATAAATGATGTTTGGATACATGAAAATGTTATTACTGGTTCAGATTTATGTTGGAGAGTAAAGGTGCACCCCAGGCAGGGCACATGAGCACATAATGTGGCCCTACACCTCTACTGCAGTATGGGACTCTTACCGCCCCCTTGTCTGTATCAACAGAGACTCTTGTCCCTGTTGATATTGCTTGAGTCTAATGATTTAAATAATTTAAGCTACACTGACTAGTGGTGTTTTGCCTTAGGCTCATACAATGGATATTATACAGAATATAAATAAATTTTAACAAAAGATATAATGATGGAGTGCTTCATTCATTTGAGAAATGATACACATTAGCTTTCACACATGGTTGGCTCTCCCTCGCAGTAACAGGTGTGGGTAACCCACAACCCATCCTGACCCTCACATAACGAAAAGCCTTGCTTGCTTTTTGCTAGGGCCGCTAGAGGACTCCCAAGTGAATAGACGCCGCCTGGCAGACCGCGCTGCTTTAGACGTTAATGAAGGTAACCAGTTGCATACCCTCCCCGTGTCTCTGCGTCTTCATCCACTCCAATAGGCAAAATTTTCTTACTTCCTTCTGTTGTAGTCTCTTTTCTTTACATCCTCTGATAGCATGTCTGTTCTTCACACACCCTATAGGAATGTGCTGTTTGACATTTTTTCTGTGGTGCATGAACATTTGAGATCCGCTTATGTACACCCCCCTTTAATAATCACTCATGAATGATTCAGCTTCTTGGCTCATCCCAAAATGCTCGCTCCTTTCATTAACACAAACCTGGCATCCATACTACTCTTACAGGGATCACTTATATTTTCCTTGTCCTTTTGTTGGCTCAGTGCTCACGTACCAGTGGCCTCTTACTCTCCATACGGTCTCTGTCAGTACTATGTGAAACTGTTAGGAATCAAAGCTGGTGCAGCTTAGCAATACTGTACTGTACTTAGCAAAAAAATATTCTTGTAATGAATTTTGAGCTTTTCATGCTATGAAAATTCTACTGCTACACATTTTCCATGTCAATTACTAATACACCTCGAAAATTTTGAGAGTACCATGTTAATGAATGGTATTAAACTATCATAAATCATTATTAGATTTGAATAATTTTTCAAGTTTATAAAAAGGTGAGTTGTCTGTTTTCTTACATCGTCAAGTAACAAAACTAGGCTGTCAATACTGTATTTGGTTGTTCATATTATTGTCATTATTCTGATTATTACCAGTATTATTATTAGTATCAGTAAATAAATTTAAAAGACCCATTAGGGTAATGTGTACAACCTACAGAAGTGCTCTCTTTCTCTATATATACAGTATACTGTACAGTATATATCACAAGATACACTCTAGAATTGTCTGGAAAAAAACTCACCTTTTCACAAGATTTTATTACCCTTCAGTATTGCAAAGGTTGAGGGGTAATTCTTCCCATTAAAAGATAAGGACATACCTTTCAGGTAACATTATGCCTAATTTGGGAGTAAGGTAAAGAGTTTAAAGGGGCAAACATTGGTGCAAGAATGTAAACCTGATCTCCATAATTACTCATATAATATGTTAATGCCCCTGTCAAGCTTATTACGATTTCCTTTTTTCTGATATCTTAAATTGTATGATAACATTTTAATGAAAATTATTGCTGACTTGAACCTCCAATGTTCATGTCCTGTGTAACACTAAATCATTGGTGCTCTCAGAAAATAAAGAGATACATTCATACTTCCTGAAGTTATTTTCAGTTAGTATAATGGACATTTTTAGGCCTTAAATACCTTGTATGATACTGATGTACTGTTTATATTGTACAAGAGATGTGCATCATACAGTAGTGTTATACAATTGTTTAAGGAATTATATGTGTTTGATATAAAGAAGGTACATGTATTATAAAAATATCTACTGATTTGAGTTTCCATATATTTATTCTTCTTGAACTATTATTCTAAGTTGCCCCTAAAAGTACTGTACATTTTCTTTTGTCTGTTCCCACTGAGAGTTGTGGGAGTATTCTAAAAGATGTTACAAGGAATACCCGGTAGTTAAACATCAGATAATACCTGGGATAATGATAAATAAAGAATTACAGTATTGACAATCATGAGATACTGGTAATTAAAACGATTATGCACTCGTTTTTTAAGTGTCCTAACGTTTCTATTGTACTTCGGTTAGCAAGTCATAAGTTATTCAGCACAGTAGCCCAAGCCTTGTAAATTTGAATATTTTTGATAAAGTGGTATATGTACAGTCATTTATGGTTGCCCTTTAAGCATCCTATTCTCAAAGTGATCCTGTATGTTGTTGACTTTCCATTTATCTCCTCATTCTGTGAACTTATGCCTATTAACATGTATATTTTCACATATTTATGTATCTCCTCCCTGCCAACTCTGCCTAGAACACCCAGCAACTTGCCGCCTACATCTTTTAGCTAGCCACTTTCCCTGGTGTTCCTTGGTGACCTGTCACTTGCTGTGCTGCATAAATGTTCTGTTTTTATCTCTCCCTATTTTTTCTTCATCTCTCTTAGGTCTTTCATATATGTTAGATCGAGCAGGATTGGATATACAACAAGGTCCGTATATCTCATAAAGGGTATAGTTGTGAGAATTGTAGGCATTATGTTGTATGCAAGGTAAAGTACTGTACATATATTGAATGTGTATTATATATGCTTACATACATACAATATGTGTATGTTTTGAAGTACCGTACAAGTACGTATAGGTATGAGAAGGATTAGAGATGTACAGTATCTCAGTATAAATGTAATTGTAAATACAGGACAATATGTGCAGTGAATGTGTGTCTGAATATTCATATAAAAGCATTAAGACACTTCATATATTATTTTGTAGATTCAATTGTTTTTGAATAGATGGAATCCAAAATATATTTTATCAATCACTTGTCACTGTTGAATTGGATGAAGTGTTACGTTCATAAGATTCTTAAGATTAGTGTCAAAAATATTTTTGTATTAGACTTAGTTTTTAATTTAATTTTTTTGTTTGGAGATGTTATGTGATAAGAAATTTTGAGACATGTTTGATTTTTAGATACGTTTTAAAAAAATAAGAAAGATAGAAATTGGAATAAAGATATTGTAATAATAAGGAGATTCTTCTTTTACCCACAGAAATACAAAGGAACCGAGAGTTCTACAAGAACACAGAGGTCCGGCCGCCATTCACCTATGCTTCACTTATCAGACAGGTGAGGATATGAAATACACTTTACTGAGTTTATTTCTTAACAAAATACAACAGTAGTGCATTTTCACCATGCATTTAGTTTTATTAGTTTTCACGGAAAGAAACTAAAGAGAAACAATCTAATAGTACTGTAGTGTACTACTATATTGACTCATTTACAGTAAGTGGAAGTGAGGCAAGTCATCTTTAAGTGAATTCACCCTCCCCCCCTCTCACACACACACACACACACACACATATATATATATATATATATATATATATATATATCCAGGTATATCACTTGGTTTATGGTCTCGAGGTCTCCAATAATAACCCTATAGGTGCAAGTTTCTTCAGTAATGCACTAAATGTTAAGAAGACTTGGGAAGATCTGTAACAAGACTCGTGCAGAGTTTCGAGAAGTTGGTGTGGGACTAAGTCACAGCGGGAGATGGAATAAGAACATTTATGGTCATATTGGAGTTACCAAAGTGTTTTTGCAACTATAACTTCATTGGACCTGGAAGAGTAGACAAAGTGAAGGAAGAACAGTTACACATAGCTATTGATTTGACCCCAGGATGAGAGTCCATAGACAAGTTAACAGTCATGGAACCTATTTCAGAAGGTTAAGAGCAATAAATAATAGATAATCTACTACAGTAATTAATTTCAATTACCCCCAGGCTGTCCAACTTTTATGGTCAGATTAGCTACCTGAGTATCTTTTAAAATCTTTGCAGAAAGAGAAAATGAAAAATTGTTACTCTTTCCTATTTCATGCATTCTATGGGATGCCACTTTTGAAATTTATTTGGCTAACACCAAACAAATTTATGTAGAACAGAGAGACACTTTGTGCCCAAGGGGTTAAGGAGTTGTCAACAGATTGCAAAATGTACCTGATGCACAGTTTAGCTTTTGTTATTGATTAAAAAATATTTATGTTCTCTACTTTGTGGTTCTGTGCCAGTGTTACATATTAAAATCTGAGGATAATAAAGGTTACATAAAACCTAATTAGCAAAATATGTATTAATTTTGAAATTTTTTAAAGGATTCCTCAAAACCTTCATATTTTTTTTCTTTTTAGGCTATCATAGAAGCTCCAGATAAGCAGCTGACTCTGAATGAAATATACAATTGGTTCCAAAATACCTTCGCGTACTTCAGACGCAATGCTGCTACATGGAAGGTGTGTAGAGTGTACAGAAGATATGTTGTGGGGCACCTCAGCTGATAATATGTTCTCTGTTTGTGCTGCTTTCTTTTGTACATTGTTTTTACAGTATTCGTGTTTGACTTCAGAAGTCAAGCTTATGTATAAACTGATAGATAGAATAATCTATAACTTGCTTTATTTGAGGCATTCTATAAATTTTATTATGTATGTATATATTTATCTATAAATATTTAATAGTTTAAGTAGTTGGTAGATTTGAGTATATACAGAAACTTGAACACTTATTAGATGTAAACTATGATGTGGACACATTAACTTCACTTCCCCAGAGTCTATGTATGTCTCAGTTATAGATATTAATAGTCAGGTCTGTACAACTAGTTATTAAAGGATGTAATGAAGGAATAAAGACTAATATGTTATTATCAGATTAACAGCTACTTTTAGTTATTTTTGCATACATTGTCATAAAAATTATATGAAATTTATAATAAGCATTCCTCAAATAACTTCAGGTTAAATGATTCCAATAATTTGACGTCATTTTGTGTCATATTTCAACTTCTTCACTTATAATCTAATGGTCACTTTATTACTAAGAGTAGCAGTTCAGGTCTAGGTATCCAGAATTTTAAAGATAAGTGCAGGAAATAATTATTTTCTAAATCCTAGTTAATGAGCCTTGTGGACGTACTAGTGAGAGTTGGTTGCATACAATATTTGCACCATCTGTTGTCCCATATTAATACTATTACTTTTATCTCCATCATGGGATCTATTGGAAGTTGTACACAGGCATACACTCCCAGAACCTCGGCCCCTCCACTGCCTGCAGGCACTAAGTCTTTCTCATCTCCTGTGTGTTTGTCTGTCTTCGAGTGCCCGCCAAAGATCAGACATGACTTTCAGTTTCCCAGGACACTTTGCTTGTTATTGCTAGCACCAGTAAAGCTATTTGAGTTCCCCTTTGAACTGCCGTCTGGCTGATGGCTGCCGCGTCTTGGCGAGTTATGACAGGCCTGGTCTCTTGACGCTCATAGTGTAGAGTATTACTTCTTTATTTATGCATTACATTGCATGGTGCCACAGACGAGTAATGAACAGTTGAAAACAAAGTTTCTAGTTTTTTTCTTTATTTATGAATATACAGCATGAAAGCGAGTAACATTTTGAAAAATTAATTTAATTGCACTGTAGCCAGTGTAACAATTACAAGTATTATTTTAGGCCAGTAACACTGATTAGCTGCTGCTTTTGGCTGCTCCATAGACCCAGGAATAATCCATTTTATTTTCATTATTTGTTGTTTTGGTTATTACTTTGCTTTGTGCTTACTGTTTTGTGTATTGTTCCGTTTAGAATGCCGTCCGCCACAACCTGTCCCTTCACAAATGTTTCATGCGTGTGGAGAACGTCAAGGGCGCAGTGTGGACAGTGGATGAAGTGGAGTTTTACAAGAGGCGACCCCAGCGCTGCGCCACTGGGTATGTTACCCTTCATGACCTGCACCCTTTCCTGACCATGCCTGCCGCCGCCCCTCCTGGCAAATCCACGCCCTCCGCTCTCTGAGGCCTTCACAGTCAACATTTACCTGTGTTTTGGTAGAGTGAGAGAGCAGAGGGCGCTCACTGTATGTCTCTCTGCCAGGGGCCTTATTTTATGGGCGTGTGGGTGGGCTTTTCACCTTTTTTCTCTAGAGTTTTTCTTGTGCTTTGACTTTTTCTCTCTTTTTCTCTAATGTCGTTGTTGGTGGTCCAGAATGCGATCCGCACCAACCTCTCGCTGCACAAGTGCTTTGTGCGCTATGAGGACGACTTTGGCTCATTCTGGATGGTAGACGACGCAGAGTTTGTGAAGCGACGTCACCTGTCCCGCGGCCGCCCCCGGAAATACGAACCCAACACCCCACCACCACCTCACCAAACCCTCCACCCAGGGCTTCTGCAAACCCAAGGGGTCCCCATGGCCTTCCATGCGGCATTCCCGCCCCTGTCAGGGCCGCTCCCGCCCCCACAGTAAGCACTGCTCACTGGCTCAGCAGCAAAATTGCCACGGGCGGGCGGGGACTACCCTTATTGGAATCTTCAACCTCCCCGCCCGCCCGTAGGCACTCCCGCTCCATCCAGCACTCACACCCACTCACACCCCTTCTTCCTAATGCTCTCTCCTTCTTGTACACAATTTCATACACTTCTCAGACCATTCATCTTGCCTAGATATGATCCCACATTCTTTCAACATCAGCAAATTTTCGTCATTGTCATAAGCTTTGTATATAAATCTAAAGTCATCACTATCTTTTATTGAAAAAATATGCTATTATTATCATCATTATCATCATTTGCATTATGTTATTGAATGATAGTTGCAGTTACAGTACTGTATTTCCTAGCACATAACTTTGTATTACAGTATTCAAGCTCATTTTCTGAAGCAGATATTAGTGAATGTAATGAGTTTTTGTCTGCACGTGTGTATGTATGTTTGTGTACCTGTGTGTACTCTGTGTATATATTTGTGTGACTACATGATGAATATTTTCAGCTGAATGTCAAGGAACTGATAAATTTTGATATTTGATACCAGTACAAACAACTCTTCCTGCATCTACATATAAAACTTGCACAATGAATTAGGCTTTATCCTGTTATTGTGTGACATTAGGTAAAGTAGTATGGATATTCCTGAATTTGGTATGAAGCTTCCAGAGTGTTAGTATCTTTCCAAATAATAATAGTCAGTTTAAGACAGTGCAATTCTTTTATGTGCTCTGTTGATTAATTGTTGCAGTTCACCTGACTAAGTTCCTTAACATGAATTACAGCAATTGTGGCTTCCAGCCCCCCCCCCCCCCAAATTTCCTTCAAAAGATTTGGATTTAAACAAGCTGCGACTAGTATTCTTGATCAAAAAGCTATTAATGAATGTGATATAATTTTATGTAACTGGAAAAGAGAAGTGTAGGGAATAGAATGGTGTTCTTGCTAAACTAGCAAAGCAATACAGCCAGAGTCGATTGGTTTTTCATTGGTTAACGTTGATGATACAGAAGTGTAAATTAATGAGCAATTTCTGGGGATGAGATTACTGATAACATTAGATTAGCTAATATAATGCCATTAAAAGATTTATTGTATTTTAAGTGCTTTATCCCGAGAATGAAATAATTTACTAAATAATTCTTGGCATTAAATTGCTACACTGCAGAGGCCAAACGTTATCTTATCCATCATATATACAGTACTTAACCCAAATAGCCATTATTATCAAGTGTAGCTCATCAGAACACTGACTGCATAAGCCTCAATACAACAAAGATATTGTTTAGATATCCCCATGAATGTGCTGTTTTGGAATATTTGGGCTAAGATAATTTTTGTTGATTATTTTAATTATTATTTTTTCTATTATGAATCAAGTACAGGTAGGTGAAATTCTCCCACACCACACCTGGCCCACAGTAGAATCTGTCTTTTGCCTTGTGTTGAAGGATATACCCAAGAGAATTACAGAGCCAGATAACCAAGTTAAACTCCAAAAAATTGTAAACATAAATCTAGGTTAGAAATTTTGAGATTCAATATTTTACTTTGATGTATCTATTTTGATATAATGTATACAATACTAAGATGCATTTCATTGAAAGTTGTTCCATAAGTAGTATTTTACTAAGGCAATTAGTTTCATTGTACTGTATACAGCATTTCCTCTAAGAAACATTATATAGACTTGTTTTGAGCTGGTTAAATTCCTGCCATCTTAAATATACGTAAAAAAATAGATGCAACACAAAATCTGTCTGAACATTAATGTTTATGGCAAGGGTCCTATTTCCACCATTTTAATGAGTGTACAGACTTTGGTATTCCTTGGTTATGGACTGAAATTCTGATCTTAGCCACAATAAAATGACTAATGTTCTTAAAATCCTTCTTTGTTGATAGAGAGGAAAAAGAACTTGACCAAGTTTCAGTCTTCCTCTTGCACACTACTTTGATGTTGGACGATTTGAGACATGGCACTTTTGTGGTTCTGAGCCATACTGAGGTGTTAAGATGGGAGATAACCTGCTTCAATACTCCTGTTCAGGTCATGGTTTTCTCTGTACGATGTCACTTTTTTCTATTTATTTGAATTCAATGTAGCCAGCATTAGGAAGTTGACACATTGACACATGTTAACAATTGGTCTTCAGTTTTGATATGAAAGTACTGTAGATACCGGTAGACAACTTCCAACTGGATCTTAATGGTTCCCCATGGGTCATGTTCATATTCTTCTCTTGCTGCAAATGGATAAATAGGTATACCAAATCAGTCTTTAGCTATGATTGTGAATAAATTAATACAGTACTGTACTAGCATGCATGAGTGAGTGAGTGTTTATATAAGATTCACAACATAAAATGAATATTTCCCAATTGAAAGCACGAGTCTGTTCATGGAAGGTGTCTCATGCTTGCATCACTTCATTTCAATTCATCATCTTGTCACATGACCCATCTAGTAAAGATCACCTGCCACAGATTTTCTTTTCTTCACATAGAAAAATAAAAGCAAACATTGCCTTTCTTAAAATAAAAGCAAACATTGCCTTTCTTCATCAGTCATATACTGTATACAGTTTTCCTCTCTTACATCAACTATTTCCTGAAATATTTAAGCGTAACATTGTTATTAACACTGAGCTTAATGCTGCCCCACCTTTTCAACATTTCAACATACCCATTACCTTCTCCTTTACTTGTTCCTCCGCCAAATTCCCTTGCTTTATTTTTTTCACTATAATTTTTTTAACGATAACTATTAATTCATTGTAATGGTAAAGAAGTTCTACATCAGTTATAAACCCTTGGTTTATCCAATGATGCTGATTTAGTGATCACATATTCAAGAATGCGAAGGTGAAAATGAGATTTGGAGTCTTGTGTATTATTTTTCGTAAGTTTCATCACAGGGAGAAAAAAGATGATTCTTATCAATGGGAAGACCCTCCCATGTGAGAATAAAATTGAAATTAATATATTTTTAATTCTTTATTTTTGTATCCTTTTGCGATTTCATTTTACTTGATTGTTTGCTGCCCCTTTTCCTCGACTGAGCCAAAAATTATAGATTGTAAGGTATAAACACCCAGACGTGTTATGTAGAGAGTTAGAGAACAATTGTTATAATGCTAATTCATAAATCACAGCATTGTCAGCTATAGTATTAATTGTCATTCATATTAACATCTGACCGTTTGGGTGTTGATAGTAGCTGTAGATATTAACCCACATCTACCAACTTAACCAGAGAGGGATACCACCATTCATCGGTAACTGCAAGTAACTTTTCCTTTCTCTTTTCAATCTTTTCACTCTCTCTTTTTTGCATTTTACTATTTACATCTCTTTATGCCTTTTTCTTAGTGGAATGCCCAGAAGTCGTCGCTTTTCAGATGTTTTGAATCTCCTTTTAAAACCATTTCGGTGTTGTGCCATTTCCAAAAACTCTTGATGTTCTGCACTTTCAAACGTCTTTTAATGCTTGTTATCTCTTCACGATAATTAGCTTTCCATAGCAAATATTATCTCCTTTAACGTGAGTCACAGCAGACGTGTGTTACTCTCCGATAACAGTAAGTTGAACATTAATTACTAATATATATTAGGAAGAATATTAGATATGAATAATATGACATCAACAAGTCATGATATTTAAAGAAGAAATAGAAACAAGATAATGTAAGTATTGCATGGTAAGTGTGTACAGTATACAGCAGTAAACAGTGTTTATTTCTTAATTCATTTTCTATAATATTCAAACTTATTTGCATGTATTTTCAAATTCTTAGTGTTTCATAATAGTATTAAAATTAATACTGTATTTCCATTCTGAGTGACATATTTTACCCCAATTGCACAAGATGCTCAAGTGTTCATTTATCTAATAATAGAAAATAATACAGGCACTTTATATCCTGTTAAGATTTTAGAAATCAGCAGTGCAGCAATTGGAATGAATTTTTGACAATATATATTTTTCAGGGGTGTGCCAAGCAAGAGTCCAACATTAACTGGGAGCCCGACCCTCTATGGCGAGGCCCTTAACGCTAGCCTCCAGGTACTTTACCATTCCACTAACTTTTCATAAATAATTCAAATATAGTGTCTCAGGTGAATGTGTAAGATAAGTAGAATACTTATACTGTACTAAGCATGGCAAGTAATAAGAGAAATACTGAATATTTTAGAATATAATAGGGATGAGGGATAATGGTAGAGATGATAATAGAATACTGTAATAGATAAAACTGATGGTACTGTGTAAGGACCAGGGAAGGCAGAAACTAGCATGAATGAATTAGATTAAAATCTAGGTCCCAGGAGAGGTGCAAAATATGTAAGGCTTGATAGATAACACAAAAAAGTTTGGAGTGAGGGACCATGGTCACTAGCCCTCTGGCACTTTGATTAATTGACAGTGTAATGATAGGTAGTAGACAGGTTACTTCTAGTCATCGAGAAAGGCACTGACATGGTGGAGGCTAAGGATTTGTCAAAATTTACATTATTTTTTCTTTCTTTAACCTTGTTGACACTGCAGCAATTGTGTGTCATACTGGTCATGCATAACACTACCCTCCACTGCCTGCTACTGTCCTCTGTGTCTGGGATAATTTTCTTTTGCTATTATCCTTTTTTGGTCTCATTATTGTTCCAATCTGCTACAGTATACAGTACTTTATGAACAACTTTTATATATTTTGCAATAATTCCTAATCTTAGTCCAGGCAAGTGGTACATGTTTCACTAAATGACAATGTATAGACGGATCTTCAGTACGGTATTTGATGATTTGGGGATGTTAACAATTGAACTTTTTGAAGTACAGTAGAACCTAGATAAATTGGACTAATTGGGGCAGACCACTTTGTAAAATCAGAAAAAGTAATTGTAGGGATATATTGTGTAAGGGAGATGGAGTGATCTGGGACCAGCTGGGGGGGGGGTGGGTGGGTGGCTCCTTTCCCTAAGATCCCTTTAACACATCTTTATGCAATTTCACCATAGTTCTCATATCATTTAGGTTCATTTGGTGCCAGGTTGATAAAATATTATCATAAAAGAATCTATTTTCCTGAAAAAAAGAATCCCACACTCAACACGAGTCATTTGTTTACAAAGGGTAAACAGCTGATCGGCTTAGTTCCACCACTCAAGCTTACCACAACATCTGTCTTCAGCGCTTACCGGTAGTAAATTAGTACAATACTGTAGTGTATATATCTTCGCTTAATGAATAATATTGTAGTATATTTATCAGCACTTAATAAGAAAAAATTGTACTGTACAGTATTATACATCTGCATATCCCCTGGTTTATTCACTAATCAGTTGTCTAGGTGCACAAGTAACCAAATTGAGCCATCTTGTATCACTCAAAGGTAATAAATAACATTGTTAGAAAGGTAACTTCATATCAAATACCATACAGTGTGTTACAGTTACCTTGTTGTAAGCTGATTTACTGAAAGCTCTCACACAAACACATCCTGAGTGAATACCTTATGATACAACTTGTACAGTACAGTATAGTCTGGATTTACGCGGTCAATTGAACCCGTGGAGGCCCGTGTAAAACGAGAAACGCGTAAATGAAATAACACAATATATGGGGTTAATTGAAATAGAGACTGGGCCGACCCCCAAACTCCACTTTTTGCCGACACAATACGTACGTTGTAGTAAAAATAACATCTTAATTTTATGATGGTATGCACACATAATTAATAATTAAGAGAAATATCAATAATGTTTGGTTTTTTAACACTTACGTTAGTAGAAAAGCTGGGTTGGCACACGTGGATGGCAGCTGGTTCCAAGGCAGAGGGCAGATTAGTTGCCCTCCGGTGAATCACTTTCACTTTCACTACTCGCAGAGGTTTGCAGGGCCTCCCAGACAACCTCTCAAAGTCCATATCTTCACTGTCAATATCACTATCACTGACTTGGGCTGGCTGTGGTTGTGGTGGGTTGCGGGCGAGGAAGTCCTCAATACTACGTTGATGACTAGCATTGATGTTGTCGAGATAAATCTGGATATACTGCTCCATAACTTTCGTCAGATGGTTATTAGACACTTCATACCGATGCTTGTCTGGGTCGTTGTCAAGGATGAGCTTAAGTTTCTCCCCCAACTCGATGATTTCCTTCACATTATCATGGCTAGGTCCAGGTAAATCAATGTTTTTCTCTGGTGGTAGGGGTCCCGCGGAAGCCATTGTGAGTTGTGAGGGGAATAGCGGGCACAAGAGAGAACTGTATACGCGGACTGAGAACAATGAGACAGGCCCTGCTAGGTTAGCGACTTCTACCCTCTGGTGGCAAGGCACGTCATGTTACATTAGACCAATCACAGCTAGCGGTGGAGGGAATGTGTGGGTGGTGAGGATGCGTGGCCCAATCACAGTCCGATACGTCACATGATGTCACCGATAACGCTACAGCGACATACTGCGCAACCTTACTCACGCCGCTTGTGGTCCAGCATGGGCCGCTTGAATACAAAATGGCGCGGCGCGTCTGGACCTCCAGCCACTCTCCGCGTAAATGACCAAATTTACCGCGTAATTAAAGCATTTCAATTCTGGCAAGGCACCGCGTAAATGACCAAACGCGTTAACCAAAACCGCGTAAATCCAGACCATACAGTCAGTTCTGCTATAACGCGATAGTTGTGTTCTTGTAAAATATCGTGTTATAGAAAATCGCGTAATAGAAATAACAGGGCTTATGGAGAAAATAGGGTTAGGTGCAGATTACTCGAAATCGAAAAAATTTAGTAGTTAGCCTAACACAAAGGATAGCACAGTCTAAATAAATGTTACATTCATATCTAATAATGAAATCATACAGTAAATGTAACACTTTACCTTGAAAAAATATGAATGTAACTTGATGGGGAGAAGGGTGATTTTGAGGTTGATAACATCGAGCTTCTCTTCAAGTGTTATATCCTTTCTTTTACGATCATCACCGGGAATTCTATCACCAGAACGCTTCTTGGAGATATTCTTCTTTACCATATTCACAGTTAATACCACAAAATTGGAGAAATAGTAAGCAAAAATCGCGTTATAGCAAACAAGCTTTCGCGTTATACAAATATCGTTCTTCTATTCATAAATCGCGTTAGAGCAAATTCGCGTTATCAAAACACGCGCTATAGCAGAACTCACTGTACTGTACTTTTATTTTCAAGTCTAATTACATGTTGTATTTTTTCTCTATTATTGAAGATGTTATATTAATTATGATGAACCGTACGCCATAATTGGCAGATCATACGAGAATATAATACAGTACTGAATCATTAAATAAACCAGGCGAATGTGGCAATGCCCGATCAGCCCCCAACCTGCTTAGACATGCAGTGTCTTTGCTCTCGTTATGCCTATAGCAAATCTAATGAGACAGTTGTATAGTATTCAGTGAGCAAGTGTTTTTATTTTTGTAAGATTTTTTTTTATTTTACCCATTTCTTATAATACTGCAAGTACTTACATGATTTTACCCATTTCTTATAATATGTACATATGTAATTTTAACCCAATTCTTAAAACCCTTTAGTATCCCCATTAAAGATACTACGTACAGTACTCTACAAAAAAAGTTCACGTAAATGAGTGTAGGTAGTGAAGTGTGGCACACTAATACTATAAATATGAAGGCAGGACTCACACTGAGACTGAGACACTTGCCGCACGACACTCACACACAGACGTTAAACCGCATGTATGAACACACACATCATCCGGACTGATGCTGGATTTTTCAGACTTTTTAAGAATATTTCTGGTGAATAAAGAAGCAGTCCAGAGCACCTCATAGAGTCCAAAAAAAGTGAATTCCAATGCTGTACTGTATATTGAAGTCCTATTTATCGAAGTTTTACTGTAGGTGCCTTCAAGGCTCCTGTTAGTTTACATAAGAGTAACATAATGTAGATAGGTAGAATGTACTGAAGGGGCTTGTTTTTTTCCTTTAAGAATAAACTTTAAGCACAAATACAACATCAATGAAATATGATATATACAGTACTTGTAGCTTTAAATCCAATGATAACATGACTATATTTCATATTTTAATGAATAACTAAGTGATTACAGGTTACCTGAAAGGAAGTAATGTGAGTTTATGTATTTAACAGGCTGCTCTGGCAGACTCAAACCTTCCAATGCTGAACACTGCCTTCAGTATCTCCTCCAGCATGGAGAAAAGTGGTTCTCCACCCATTTCCTATCATGAGAGTATGATGCGCCATGAAGAGGAAGAAGAACTCCCAATTAGAGAGCGTGAGGATGAGCAGGAAGAATCCTACCCATCACAACTTGTCAAGCAAGAGATGACAGAAGAAGAGACTCCAATGGAAACCCAAAGGGAATGTGAGGAAGAAGCCCATCCAGCCTCTCCAATGTCACATTATCGCCATTACTCTGGAATAGAGGAAGACCGACCTCAGTCTCGTAGCCCTGTACCACCAAGTCCTGTATCCCAAGCCCCTCCACCACCTGTGTCCCACGCAGTGCCCCACGTGCCAACAACGATTGGCCTTCCTCCACCCCTTCAGCTATTGCATGATGCACATATGCGACAAGGACCCCCTCTAGAAGGCTAGTGATGTAGGGCATGAAAAAGGAGTATTGTTTACCTCCGAGTGATTTAACGCTTGAAAAAGCCTACTTTTCATACTGCCATCTTCCTCGGACATGCCAGCAAGCGGCTGGCTATAAAATGAGACACACATCCAAATAATGGATGTTATTTTAACTGGTATCCCTTATTTAGATATTGCATTATCTGAATTTCTTAACATTGAAGCACTGGCTTGTGTATGTGACACAGGGAAACCTGTAGGAAAGGATGGAAGAATTTGTTATTTTTGCACTGATGGAATTAGACTTTCTATTAGATTAATTGTTTCATATCAGACTAGTCTTACCTAAGGCACTGTCGTCGGTCGTGGCACAAGTGTTTATATTCTCGGTGATGGACAGATATTGTTTTGTACAGAAGGTTTAGACAAGGATGTGATCGCTTACTGTAGTAAGTGTAGAGTTACAGGACTACAGTGCAGGCAGAGAGAGTGATACTCTTGCCGCACTTAGTGTAGAATAGCCTAAGGCTACAGATGGTACAGCAGCCACCTGTATACCATTCCTAGATGGGTCTACAAGATCCTACTGTGCTTTTCTAGCCCCTGTTTCCTGTCAACCCTAGCCCAGTAGATAGTTCATATGCTTGCGTCTCTGATAAGTTCAGTCAAGGTAATTTATGCAATTCTTGACTGATTAGGACTAGGCACTGAATTTTATATATTTAACGTAGAGACATCTATCAAAAATGTAAGATTTTTACAAGTGCCATATTGAATTCTATGTGAGCTTTTATTAATATAACTTAACCAGTGAAATTTGATCTCAATCTTATATGATAGCTCTTCCATGACAATGACATAACAGAGGTGCACATTTCATAAGGCAGCAAACTAAGCTGTCAAGTTACTGTATATTTCTTTCTCACAAATTTTACAACTTTAGCAATGCTGTTGCTAAGATAATGACACAAGCCTCAGTTTCTTTTACACATCACTAGGGAATGTGCTTTTTTTACCTACTAAAGGATATTAAATCATTGCTGTTCATCTTCATTGCAAATGCACAATTTTTCTGACGCAGTAGTCCTGTACCTCAAGTAAACCCACCTATTTACATTATTTATTTGTTATTTATATTGTAGAATAAGTGGGGTTAGGACAGCACAGAAATGAGATCCTTAGTAGTGTAGTAATTTAGTATAAAATTAGAATTAGACAGCCATCCCAAACCTAGTAACCTGGGAGAGATGTGATTGATGTAGTAGTCTGAATTATTTTGTTGGGGTTCAGTTCTTGTAAAGGACTACAGTCATTAATGTTAAAAATTATCCATGAAACAGCAGATGTCGTAATATTTGCTTTCCAACAGAGAGTTCATATGTGTATGCAAGATAAATATTTTCAGTTGAATCTAACATATAATACTTTTCCAGCTAATGTATAAAAACAATTTCCCACAGGTTTTATGCCCTTAAGTGTATACTAAAAAAAAAGAGAAAAAATGGGAAGTTCATGAAGCTCAACCAATTTTTTTATGTGGACAGAACTTTGTTATTCTCCTTTTATAGACAAATATGGCATGGTGTTTATGACAAGCTGTTAGAAATTACAAAAAAAAAATAATTGCAATAACTAGGATGGTCTCAACACTGTATACACCCTTCTCCAAAGTACATTCACTGGGCTTGGTTAGTAGGAACTGCATAGAATGGACCACTGTAGTATAAAGCATTGTTAAAAATGCTACTTATAATACATACTCAAGCATATGTATTGCATTACCATTGTAGGTTAGCCTTGCTGTGTTAGGGAGTCAGGACTATGGTGGGGTAGGTTCACAATGTAGTAAGTAATTTTATAATATTTATTTTTCAGTTTGGTTTACTTGTTGTTATTTGAATACGTAAGTGTGTCCTGTGTAGCTGAAGTGTCTGTTTACATTCTTTGGTTGTATATTAACTTCCCGACCAGTGTAGCTACAGGTTAGGACCATGATTAAGGCCCCATTATAGTTCTGTTTCCTAAATCGCCATATGTCCCTGTTGGTCGCAAGTCACAAGGTAGTAGATGAGCTTCTAGTAGAACATTCCCTTTGGGCAAGGTTAAGCCCAGTCCCTGAGCAATAACTGTCTATTGTATGACTGTATTATCATGAACAAACCTCCCTCCCTGTCTCCCATTTGCAATCTCCAACTGCTGTCACTGACTGGCTCTCTGTAAGATAGTTTATTAGAAGTGCTTTGAGTTACTGAAGTTCCAGCATATGTTTATACCCTGAAACAGAAAAGGTTGTCTTGACTTGCAGAGGGCCAGAGATGTGAGCACAGATGAGGCCCTAAATCCACAGACCATAGTTTACTTTTTGAACAAGATTAAATATCTAATTGTACAGTAACCTTGGAAAATATGTGCATTTTGTAGCACTAAGGAAAAGTTGAGGAGATGGTTTATTACAGCGTTTTCTAATAAAATATGAGATTAAAGTACTGTATTCCAAATTTTATAGCTTAAAATACCTCAGTCATTGATGATGCATTTCCAAATGTAAGTCCAAAGATATTCTTATATGTCTGCTTGTATTGAGGGCCTCCTGTAAATAGAATTACACATGTGTAACATGAAAACCATATTCAAGCAATAGAAAGTTGATATAAGCAAATCATCTTTTTGAAAAGAAAATTTGCTTGTTGGAAAACTAACTAGGGCTTGATTAGTGATCATGTTATAGATATATGCCGGGTCAGAGGACTGGTCACGTACAAGTGTACAGAATTTTAAGTTACAGGTGTTGCAACCAAACTTTTGTTCATACTGTAAATTCAACAAGAATGACACATTTGTGTGTGTCAACTCAGTAATCTTATTATTCAGATTTAGTCCAGAGATCTATAGAAGAAAACATGTCCTCAACTCTATATTTATATGGCAAGTGCTTTGTATGCCAGACATGTTCATTAATGAAAAAAAATTAGTGTGTTTTGATATTCAATGCATAAGTGACATTTTTTGTCATTTATAGCCTCATTCCTGACGAGATGAAATGAAAGGTCTCCATTGTCCACACCCATGGAGATGTGTGAGTTATGGTAGCGTTTGGTAATGGTCATGGTCATGTTTTCAATAGCATTCATGTTTGAAGAATAAATCAGTTCATAACATACATGTCAATCATGCATTTATATATTTTTTGTGAGATCTAAATCGGTCAGTTTTTAACTTAAATTTTCAAAAATGGCTTTAATTTGTGAGCTCCCATTTTAATAATCACTTTGCTTTGCTCATTAATGGTTGCTTACCAGTTCCTAATTATGTTATGAAAAACATTCACAGAGGGAGTCATAAATTTTGTTGTCACAAACAAGACTTAACTGTGATGCATGTACAGCCATAGTTTAGCAGCTACAGGACAAACTTGTACAGTAATAAATATTTCATGTGAAAATTTTCAACCAAGAAAATAGGACTTCTGTCATGGAGGTTTTCTTTACCATAAGGACTTTTATTTGTCAACTAATAGAATTCTCTTTCAAATTTCATGCATCCAGTAAAGTTGAAAGTAATTCAAATCTATAATAATCCAGAAGAAAGAGCATCACTTTATACTTTGTGACAAAGAATTATGGGAATTTTCCCTTACAGCTCCTGATGGAAGAACAGGAAAGCCAAGACCAATATGTGATATAAGGAATTTTGTCCAAAAGTGTGTTGGTCTCAGTGGAGTATCTGTCTGCAAATGTAGTTTATTTCAGTGATAAGTTGAAACACTGTACACCCCACATGTAAAGCCCCTACAGAGCAAGTAAAGTCATTAGAGTATGTTTCCATTTTGATTTTAACACCCTTTATGTGTAAGTAACATTTATCAGTTTGCCAAAGATTTCAAACAAAATAACAATGCTCTTTCTTTACACAAACATATACAGTAGAACCTCAAAGATCCAGAGATCAGTTATCTTGGAGTCTTGGGGAAATGGAGCCTTTGAAAAATAATAATGAAATGCTAATAAACCAACCTTGCACTCACAGGCATCAGGTGACCACTGATTTGAATGTCTCGCTGCCTTCACTGTTGATGTAAACGGTTGTCATTTGAGTTTGTGAGTGGCAATGGTTGTTCTGTTATTTTGTATACTTGTGCTAATCGAAAATGTCTACTGAGTACCAAAGCTCAATAATTAGAACAAGGAAAGTTTAAAGTACCTACATTAATGAATCAAGTTTTCATACTTTATTTGTATAGAAAGGTATGTTTGGTCATATAATACACTGGGGTGTGGCAACCTCCAGTGCCTGTAAGCTGCACCAACTTTACCTATTTGAAAGTACAGTACAATAAAACACTGGTAATTCAAATGTCATAACTGTGAGAAATCAGAAAAGTCAGGCACTTAATTACCTGCTTAGAAATATTCGTTTTGATTGGATTATTCTAACATACTGTATTCCCTCTTTAATATTTCATTTCAACACAATGAACAACTTATTTTAACCATGTGGTTCACTTTGACTGTTACCAGTTCAAGAGAAATTTGGAATAGCTTGGCTAATGCCAAATGATCCAACAAAGTAATGTAACATATTAATCACCCAACACATCCACACAGTTAATAGTTGAAAGAAATTGGCTGCGGTGGTTGATACATGGGTTATGTGGTCACATGGACCTCACCAGGGTGACCACTTGGATCATGTTACTGCTTGGGGCAAAATGCAGTGTAATACTTTGAATCATACAGTCCATTGTCTTACCTATATTGTGAGATTATCTTTCTCATGTGTTCTCCACTATACAGTGTGTTATATTACTGGCATTCTTTTTTTGGTTTTGTGTGTAAAGTGTAGTGCTACAGGCACTGAATACAGTACCATGACAACTTCCAGTGACATTAGTTCAAGGTCCCACTGGGGAGTCAGACACATGAGTATTGCACAATAACAAAGTTTATTTATTACATTCTGATATCACACTCATATATATATATATATATATATATATATATATATATATATATATATATATATATATATATATATATATATATATATATATATATATATATATATATATATATATATATATATATATATATATATATATATATATATATATATATATATATATATATATATATATATATATATATATATATATATATATATATATATATATATACACAGTCATGTTCCGTTAACGCCCTACTGAACAACGCCCAATCACATATACGTCCGCGGCCCTCAAAAAAAAAAAACAAATAAAAATAATAATCCTTGACGCCTGCTGGACCACCATCATGACCCCTGACGGAGACATCGATGATCCTCCCCATACCAGATTGATATAAGAGGAATATGCTTCTTCCTTAGGCTTTTTAAGCATTTGCTCCAGGTGTAATGTTAACCTACATCTATTGAGGATAAAATCTTCGCCTACAAATTGACAATAACACATTTGCTGTAATCAGACATATCTAGTTGCTCAACAATTGCAACCCCAGTTGCAATTAAAGGTAATTTCAAATTTCGGCACATTAAGAATAACTAAGTCTGGTGCACTCTAAGAATAAGAGAGAAACGGAGGACTCAAGCATCCTGATGGAAAAACGGACTCTTATGATGGGGACCAAAAAAAGAGCATAGCTACATGTTTTGTGACTACAGTATTAAGCATACCCTTTTCATCACTTTGTAATAAACCTAGCCATGCCATAACATTACACAGTGGTCTCTCTGTTAACAGAACAACTGATAGAAAGCGTCGAAACTAAAACTCGTTAACCTGAAACCATTGTTTCAATGGGTTTTTGGTTAATTGGTTCCAGCTCACCGAAAATTGCCTAAATTCAACAAAAAGGTAGAAAAGTACACTTACTTTGAGGTGTGTATGTAGAAGGCACCTGAACAGTTCCTGCAATCAACTGTCGGTAGTACTGAATAAGCATTGTGAAAAATTTCATTAAAATATTCCAAGCATCACACGACCACCACTATTCGGCAATCGAACTGTCGGCGATAGACCGACCTCCAGCATGGGCCACAGTACCTATACTGCGATTTTGGAACAAAAATCACGTGACACGAAGTTTTTATCTTTTGATCTCAAAAACTAGTAAGGGGTTAGGTTAGTTAGGTTAGACCCTTATGGCGTTTTTCTCCACCCAAATGTTATTTTTCTCAGACATGAAATTTGTGATTACCAGTAATTAAGTACATCTAGAAGAACATAACAACACCACCTAATACCTGAGAAACCAATAATTGAGGTAGTACTGAAATAAGTAATGTGAAAATTTCATTAAAATATTCCAAGCATCATTAATAATTACTGCTCATTCGGCAATCGAACTGTCGATGATAGACCGACTCAGCATGCTCGCAGCAGTACCTATACTGGGCGACGGAAATCAAAATCATGTATACTTAAAGTTTTATTCTTGACCCGAAAACGCTGCAGGTTAGGTTAGGTTAGGTTAGGTTAGGTTAGGTTGGGGACCCTTATGCGTTTCCAATTCAAATGATTTTCTCAGACATGAAATTTGGTGATTAATTTCAGTAATTATACATCCAGAAGAAATTATGCTAACATCAACACCAACTAAATATTTGAGAAACCAATACTAGCTTAGTACCGGAAATAAGCATGTGAAAAAAATTTCATTAAAATATTCCAAGCATCGTCATTTAATTAAACTAATTATTCCCACCGAATCCTCGTCGGCGATAGACCGACTCAGCATGTTTCACGAGCCTATACCGCGATGGAACAAAATCACGTGAAAGATATCGAAGTTTTGTCTTGGACCCTGGAAAAAAAAACGCGTATGTTGTATAGGTTAGGTTAGGTTAGGTGAGAGGTGAGGTTTGGTTAGGGTTAGGTTAGGTTAGGTTAGTTAGGTTGGGACCCCATGTTTTTCCACCCAAATGTGATTTTTCTCAGACATGAAATTTGTGGGATTAATTTCAGTAATTAAGTACATCTAGAAGCAACATATCAACACCAGCTAAAATACCTGAGAAACCAATAATTAGTTTAGCAATTGAAAATAAGTATTGTGAAAAAATTCTCATTAAAATATTCCAAGCATCATTACGACCACTTCAATTATTCGGCAATCGAACTGTCGACATGACAGGACCGGACTCAGCATGGCTCAGCAGTACTTACATCATGCATTTTGGAACAAAATCACGTGATATCGAAGCCATTCTTGACCCTGGAAAAAACGCTGTATAAGTAGGGTTAGGTTAGGTTAGGTTAGGTTAGGTTTAGGTTGTACAGGTTAGTTAGGTTAGGCTGGGACCTTATGCTCTCCACCAATGTGATTTTCTTCGTACATGAAATTTGTGATTAATTTCAGTACTACACATCCAGCAGAACATAACACCAAACTAAATATCTGAGAACCCACACTGAAGTAGTACTGAAATAAGTACAGCATCATTAAAAATATTCCAAGCATCATTACGCATCACTCAATTATTCGGCAATCGAATCCGTCGGCGATAGGACCGGACTCAGCAAATTAGCAGTATTTTATATCATATTTGAAACAAAATCACGATATATCGTAGTTTTATCTTGACCCTGGAAAAACGCTGTAAGGGGGTTAGGTTAGGTTAGGTTGTGTTGCTTGATAGTTAGGTTAGGTTAGTTGAAGGGGACCCTTACGCGTTTTTCCACCCAAATGCATTTTCTCAGACATAAAATTTGGTGGGATTAATTTCAGTAATTATGCTATCCATGCAATGCAAATAGCTGAGAAACTAATAATGAAGGAAAACAAAACAAGCGGCCAGAAAATTATTAAAAGAATGACTAATATTACCACTAATTATTCTCAATCTCGTTTATGATAGGACCGGACTCAGCATAAGCTCAGTAGTAACGGAGATTGGCGATGAACAAAATCACGATATCGAAGTTTTGTCTTTGACCCCAAAAAAAACGGCCAGTAAGGGGGGTTAAGTTAGGTTAGGTTAGTTAGGTTAGGCTGGGGACCCTTATGCGTTTTTTTTTCTCCACCCAAATGTGATTTTCTCAGACATGAAATGGCGGGGATTAATTTCCAGTAATTACAATATCCAGAAGAACATAACAACAATTCAACCAACACCTGAAACCATAATTAGCGAGTACTGAAAT